CATAAGTTGCGGGGCGCCTGGGTGGCTTAGTTGGTTAAGCAACTGCCTTCGGCTCAGGTCATGATCCCCGGGTCCTGGGATCAAGTCCCGCAATGGGCTCCCCCTGCTCTGCTGGGAGTCTGCATCTCCCTCTGCCTCTGCGTGCCACTCCCCCTGCTTGTGCGCTCTCTGTCTCTCTCTTTCTCTCTCTGTGTCAAATAAGTAAATCTTTAAAAAAAATCGTAAGTTGCAAATTCAAATGCCTGCAGAGACCAGGTATACAATAGTGAAGTGTGCTCAGTGGAAGATTATAGGGAGTGCTGGGGTCTATGGTGAGATGGAAGGTACATATACTTTTCAAAGCAAAACTTAAAAAAAAAAAAAAGAAAGAAAAGAAAAACCTGAATGAAAAACCTGGCTACCAGTTTGTGGTGCCTAGTCTAAAACAGAGGTGAAAAAAGTTACAACTAAATAGGAAGAGGCTTATTAATTTTACTGAAATAACTGTAAATAAAATTATACTTCATTTATGTTATTTAACAATCATATACTACATTTTCTAGGTTATTTATTTATTTATTTTTAGAGCATGCGTGCGTGTGTGCGAGCAGGGGTGAGGTATAGGGAGAAGGAGAGAGAATAATCTTAAGCAGGCTCCACACCCATCCACACCCATCCACACCCTATGCGGGGCTCAGTCTCACAACTGAGATCATGACCTGAGCCGAAATCAAGAGTCAGAGGCCTAACTGGCTAAGCTACCCAGGCGCCCCAAAATTGTTGATGATGTTGTGTGATCACTTTGGGAAGGTGGTGTCTGTCAGACTTCTCCAGTAAAGACACAATTCCCTTTGTGAATAATTTGTGCAATGATACTTTGAGACTTCAGGAATATTCTTTTTCCCATCAAGCACTCACCTGAAAGTTAACATCCAATGATCTTTACTGAGTCAATTATTATATTGGTAGTAACAAAATAGTGATTTTCTGGTTTGATCATTTCTTCATTAGTTGGCATTCTTTTATGAATATGAGCTTTTCCTCCCAGCCCTAGCCTCAGCCCCTTTCTCGAGTTCTGTATGAACTCATGGATTATTTTGTATTCAAAGTGTGTTGTATTCCATTATTATCATTATTCATATTGATGCCCAAATTGTTCCCAATTTTGCTGGACCATTGAGCTGCTGGATGTGAGATATATTTTCATTATTTCTCAATCAAGGTGTGACTATTTTGGGGAGTGATCTTATCTGTGCCCCACTACCCCTAGCTTACCCCTAGCTTCTCACTCCCTCTCTTTTTCCCTCCCAGTTGTCACTTGACTTTCTGTTCCAGCATAGTAACATTTGGTTGCATTTGGTGTTTCTTTCCCCTCTTACATGTAAACTTTGTGGTCATCTCTGTTTCCTATTGTGCTTTAGATGTGAATATAGGTGGCTTTATTTGTTCTATTTGTTGATCTCTGATTTTTTGTATGGTGTGATTAGTATTTAGGTGGCTACAGTTATTTGATAGGAAGTTGGAATTCCTCTATTTTAACTATTTTTATGGCTTTCTAAAGATGTGAAATGTCTGACTTTCAAATAAAGTTTTCATTTAAACAGGGTAATCAATAAACTTGGGTAAGTATTTAGTACCTTTTGAAGTATGTTATGCCATTTGTTCCTAGTCTCAATAGCTTCTAGCCAGTGCTATCTTTTTGAGTCTTTGGGTTTCTTTGCTTTTCTATAGCTTTTGTCTTTCCACTTGCAGACCAACATCAGTCATTTTCCCCCATTGCCAATGCACCGCCTACTAAGCCTTATCCACTTTATTGTCTACTGTGAGTAGACAATTGGGAATTCAGACGAGATTGGGTACATTCAGGGTGGTATGGCCATAGACTTGGGAATTCAGATAACACATCTTGTTAGACTTGGGTATGACATTAGAATAAATAGGACCAATTGAAAACCTGAAGACCTTCTGGAGCTTTCTTTAGGGCTTGATTTTCTGAGAATGTCTATTTGCTTATTAAATAGTCATTCTGCCTTATTTCCAGTTCTTTAATATGTTCTAGTTTATATTCAGTTAAGCTGATGGTAAATAATCTAAAAAATTATATTTTATGTAATGATAATGAGGGAGGAAATATAGTTTGTTTTTTTTTAAGAAAGATTTTATTTATTTATTTGACACACAGAGAGAGGGTGAGATCACAAGTAGGCAGACAGGCAGGCAGAGGGTGAGGGAGAAGCAGGCTCCCCGCTGAGCACGGATACCGATGTGGGGCTGGATCCCAGTATGCTGGGATCATGACCCGAGCCGAAGGCAGATGCTCAACCGACTGAGCCACCCAGGTGCCCCATGGAGGAAATACAGTTTTAAAAGGAAGAGTGTCCCTAGAATCAGATTCCTTCTGTTCAAGTCCCAGTCCTGCTGCTTATTGGCTGTGTAACTTTAAGTAGTTGCTTAACCTCACTGTACTTGTATTTCTCACTTATAAAATAAAGATAATAGTGTCTTCTCTGCAGCTTTTGTGAAGATTAAAAAAGATGATACATGATAAATAATAAAACAGTGCCTTGGTCTTGATAAATAATTGCTATTACAGTTAATATAGTAGTAAGAATATATGGGTATTTACTCTGCACAAGGAACAATGATCTCTGTTTAATAAAGCAGGCCATCAGCTCCTTAGGGTAATCTATTTATGACTTAGCCTCCACATACCCTCTACCTTCTACCCTCCCCACATCCATCCTGAAATTAAAATAAGCCCCAATGATAATTTGTTAAAAGCTTCCTGTAGAGATGACATAAATTATTATTTTCTAACTTACTCGTTATTTAGAGGTATAGTTTAAAAGGGACTATTATAGCTAAATGCCCAAATAACATTAATTTGAAAGGCTCTTTAAAAAACACTTTTTTTTGGTATGCTATAGAAATGCACAGCTTGCCATGAAATTACACTGTTATGGAATGATATGTCCACTAGAGGTCATGTTATGCTTTCATATATATATTTTTTTCATGCTAGTGTCGGGAAAGCCTACTTCAAAGAAAGACTGAGATAGAAAAAGTCCATTATCGCTTCCTGCAAAAATATGGTTTGAAAAAGAAAAAAACCCAAGCTGGACTATTACAGGAACCATCATTGCATGCCATGGTTTTATATTTGACAGTCTGCTGCAAATGGATTTGTATTGTTGAAGTTAGCAATGAGGTCTTACTACCCAAGTTAGAATTAGAAGCTTCTTACTCCCTGACACAGAGTAATTTTCTTTTCTTGAAACTGTTTCTGAATGATTATATGCAGGTATAGAATCATATATGACTATTTTCCCCACATATTTATTCTTATTAATGAGTATGGATTTGGAGTGCTACCTACTCAAGGAGTGGCTACACAAGTTACTTCAGTTCTCTAGACTTTCAGTTTCCAAATTTGTAAAATGTGAATAATAGCTATGGCAGTATTATGGTGAATCTCAACATTTAAGTGAAAGTTCTATGCAAATGATAAAATCTGCACATGGTAAATTAGGTTATCAGGTAACTGCTGGTGTTTTTGGCTCACAAGGCACACAATGGGGGAGAATATAGGAACCTCCAAATTTCTTCTCTCCTTTCTTTTTTTTTTTTTTTTAACATATAATGTATTATTTGTTTCAGAGGTACAGGTCTGTGATTCAACAGTCATACACAATTCACAGCGCTCACCATAGCACATACCCTCCCCAGTGTCTATCACCCAGCCACTCCATCCCTCCCACCCTCTTCTCTCCTTTCTGATAATTAGTTTATATTTACTTTTCTGAACTGTTGTGGCCAACAGTGTATATGCTTTAAGTGGGCTACTTTTAAGATACTTTATTTTAAAAAATGTTCTAAAAATTAACTGGAGCTGTTGCAATACACATATATGGAATTCATTCAACTGTGCCTAATTTTATATAGTCATGGTCTTACATGCAGAACTGCTCTCTGATTAAAAAAATGAGTACTGATTCCTGGCATTTTCACATTTTTGCAAGTTTTTGCAGAACTAATGGGTTTAATTGAATTAGGCATTGCTGTAGTCTGTTTTTACTGATAATTTTGGTCCTTAGGTGGATAATAATCAGAGTTGAAGTGATAGATACTAAGGTGATCCAGAGATGGGCCGAATAATTACGGTGTTAAGTAAAGTTTGTGCTTAACATGTTTTCATTATGTATCTGCCACAAATAACAAAGGCAATCCTAACTGTTGTGTTTATAGCCTTGCAGGGAAGCCTCAATTGGCAATTTTAGCATTTAAAGTGCAAATGATTTTTAAACTTTCGTATGCAGAAGTGCTTGTGAGGGGAAATAGAACATTGTTGGCTCAAAACAGGAAGCAAATCTATTCATTATACATTATTATATGATATTAATATATGCGTATATATTGTTTTATATATATACACACACACATATATAAATGATAATCTCTGCTGCATGTGAATATTTGGTTTTCATCACTGCCCCTCCCACCTTCCTGTTTTCTTAACTACTACTGATGGCCCTAGAGCTCCAGTGCAGGTCTGCCTGACCCTAAAACTTGTAGTCACCCCTTTATATTTACCAGACTGCTGCTCCTTAAATCCTTTTGTCATCAACACATACTATATATTTCTTATATTTGAAAGGTTTCTTAATAAGTACACCACATACAGATTTTTTTCTCATTTTATGAATTTTATTGATAAGAATCCCTACAAAATGTCTATCTTGAATGGAAACCATCATGAAAGGTTTTGGGATGTGTTAGATTCCAAGTTTGGGTCTCTGCTCTGCCATTTATTCTTATGACCTTGGGCATGTCCCTTAATCTCAGAGTTGTTTAATTATCTGTTCAATGAGGACAATCATTTTAATACGCAGTTGCTGAGGGACTATTTCATATCTAACCTACTAATTTCAGAAACCTTGCTATGGGTTTTGTTGTTGTTGTTGTTACTGTTGTTTTTTATGGAGGTAGCTGTGTTTGAAATGTTTATTTTTTTTCCCCTGTAGATAACAGACAAGAGAGTGTCCAGAAGACATGCCATTCTTGAGGTGGTCGGTGGTCAGCTTCGAATCAAACCGGTATATATGTTATTCATGACTTGTTTTTAACTTTTTGCCTCTCACCTTTTTATAGCTCCTGATTAAAGTGGCTTATTTTCTAAGGTTATGGAAATAGAGAATGAATGTCAGAATATATCCTTCTTATTTCCAGAGGATAATTGGGAGATAAAGATCTAAACTTTTTAAAGTATTTATTTTCCCATAAAGCAGTGCTACATTTACCTAGTTAGAACTGTAGTGAAAGATGACTGCCAGTTCATGTATACATTATGACTGGGTATTACAAATAAGATTCTATAAGAAAGCCTGTAACTATATAATGGTTTGTTTTGGGGAGGTGAGGTAGTGACTGAAGTCACTTAAATATTACAGGGTTGTATTTTAAGAGATTTCTGTACCTCTGTGTGTAGAATTAAATATTTCTAAAATTTAAACCTTGTTCAACTTTAGGGTTGCATAAATAGTTTTAATTTGAAAGTTCTTGTTGAGGGCTAAAATTTTAATTGCTTGCTTTATAGTTTGAGCATTGATGTATCATAGGGATATTAGTTTCTGAGGATGTAATGTGATTATTCCTTTCCATTTGCACAATGTGTTGTATAGGAGAATAAAACGTGTATGAGGGTCCATCTGTTTTGGACTAGATGCCGTGGCGGTAAAATTATTATGGAACAAAATTCATTAACTTGTAACATTTTAAACCTATATGTATTTTCATCTTATACGTACGCTGCCTTTGGTATCATTAGTTCTTTCTTTTACACATAAAGTACTTTTATTATCCTGTGTTGAGTTGTTTTCAAATTTGAGAAGTATCCTTTTAATTCTAGTATTGGAAAGGTTTTGAATAAAGCTGAATTTACCCCATCTCAACATTGAATAAATACTTTAAAAAAGGTTTGTATATCATTCTGCATTGTCTTCGTGTCTGGAGAAGTGCTGATGTCTATAGTCAGCTCTCCTGTGAGAACCCATTTATTTACCATCAGCTGTTCATCTCTGAATCCTCTCCAACTATCCTCTTAGATGAGACTTACTAGATCATAAACTTGTTGAGTATAGGAACACTGACCCATCTTTGTATCTTTAGTATCTAGCATAATGCTGAGCACATAGTAGGTACTTAATTCATATTTGTGAATGCATGAAGAAATGCTGCAGTGAGAACTATACATGACATGTCTAAAAGTGGAGATATCATGAATTTTTACAAAATTATGTTATTCCTAGCACCTAAGTTCTTTTTTTTTTTTTTTTAAGATTTTATTTATTTGACAGAGAAAGAGAGAGAGAGAGAGCACAAGCAGAGGGAGCGGGAGAGGAAGCAGACTCCCTGCTGAGCAAGGAGCCTGATGTGGGGCTCGATCCCAGGACCCTGGGATCCTGACCTGAACTGAAGACAGACGCCTAACCCACTGACCCACCCAGGTGCCCCCTAGCACCTAATTTCTAATGCCATTTCAATGACCAACTGTGGCCTAAAATAAACAAGTTTGTTTTTATTGTTACTGAAGCACATTAAGGTAGAGAATATAGGAATCTCTAAATTCCCATCCTGCCTTCTCTGATAGATCATATCATTACTTTATATTTACTTTTTTTCAAAATAGTAATTATGGCAAATAATACACATGGCTCCTCAAGTGGAATACCTACAACTTAATACTACATTATTTAGATTTACTACTCTATCATTCATGTTAACGAAATGGAGAACTTCTAATGAGTACTTACTTTTGGAAAAGTGTAACATTTAAATAGTCCTTGATGATTAGATTTCTAGTTATTTTTGATACCAAAGCAGAGAATATCAGCCCTGCAAGTAGGTTTATAGGCTTTTCTAGATTTGCATTATTAGTATCCAAATCCTACTATGTATACATATATCATAGAAAATAAATCAATAAGCCAAGAGTATTCTTTATGCAACTTATAAAGACAGATCCTTGGTCAATACCTATAATTCTTGATGTTTTTGAAGCTTTGTTTTTGTTTCAAATAACATCTGAAAAATTTGTAGTAGCAGAAGAGTTGTAGACAATGACATGATCCATTTTGAGAACTCAGCACATTTATTTGTAAGCAAATTAATCAACTGAATTGTGAAAAATTGAATATTAGATTTTCTTTTTCCATTCTTATTTACTCAGTGCTAAGAAGAAACCCTTCTTATAACAAAAGTTACACGGCATTAAATTTTTTATGTATCAAAAGTAGGCCATTTGGGAAACCATCAGTTTAACTAATGCTTGAATATTGAAAAACTTACTTATATTTAGATTTTAAAAACTAGAATGTTTTCCAAATTGGCTTAATAAAGATGCTTAACTAGAGTTGTGTCTATACTTGGATGAAAAGTATTCAGATATATTTTGAACATCTATGATTATTCAAAAAAGTAGTAGTAACATAAAATAAGTATACTTATATTAAAATTTTGTTAATGAAAAATTCTCTCTTTGAGTTAAACTTTATTTTTTTGTGAAGTGGGTCAAATTTCTGCACAGGAGTTTAGTAATTTTTTAATTAAAAGAAGATATCTTTTCGAAAACATCCTTCTCCTTTACTTGGTCTTTAATTAGACTGTACTCATATAAAACAACTATATGAAGTCAACAAGTGTCTTTTGAGTATTAAACTGTGGTAGATACAAAATTAGAAGCTAGAGCAAAAATTCCTCATGAGATTATAAATATGAAACTAAAATTTGGTATAATATTGTTTATGCATACCTTTGTTTATACTTATCTTTTAAATATTATTTAATATAATTTATGAACTTTCTAGTAAATGTAACCTTATATACTTGGGAGAAAGATAAGTATTTTTTACCCTTTTCTTGGTAGCATTAGTTTTGACAATGTAGAATATCAAGGCTCTCTGGAGAATGCATAATTTTACATAGTCAGCAAGTTGTCAAATGGGAATTAGAACTCAGGTTCTTTGAAATCTGTGCAGTATTTTTTTTTTTTTCATTATGTTTCCCAAGTCAGGATTCTTTTGCCATTTGCTATTCTCTTCTTTAAAAAAAAAATTCTTGAAGTTGAAAGTAACTTGATTTTTCTTCACAAGAAGTTCTGGTGCCTTCAGTTGGATAGAAGTTTACAACTGAAAGCACTCTTAGATTCAGTCTTATATATGTGGGATATTGATTTGGGCCAGACCTGGCATTGCTTATTGGTGGACAAGAGGACTTTTCATCAATAAATGGTACTGGGAGAGTTTGTTATTTGCTTGTGGGAAAAAAATTAGATCCCTACCTCAAACCATACATACAAATCAGCTTTAGGTGGTTTAAATGTGAAAGTTAAAACTATAAAACTGTTAGATTATATAGGAAAAAAAAACCTTTGTGACCTTAGGGTAGAGAAGAGTTTTAAAATAAGCTATAAAAAGAAAGACTGAAAAAAATCCAATTACAGGGGCACCTGGGTGGCTCAGTCAGTTAAGCGTCTGCCTTCAGCTCAGATCATGGTCCCAGGGTCATGGGATCGAGCCCTGCATCGGGCTCCCTGCTCAGCGGAGAGCCTGCTTCTCCCTCTCCCCCTGCCTGCTGCTCCCCCTGCTTGTGCTCTCCCTCTCTCTCTCTGTCAAATAAATAAAGTCTTAAAAAAAATCCAATTACATTAAAATTAAGAACCTTTGCTTATCAAGGATTATAATGAAAATGGAAAATGTAACAGGAAGACGTTATTTAAAACACATATAATTGACAAAGGAATGATATCCAAAATATATAACAAATGCCTTCAATCAATGAGAAAAAGAGAAACAATCCAGTAGAAAAATGGGCTGAAGACTTGAGTGGCACATTATAGAATTGGAAATCTGACTGTTTAGTAAATATGATGAAGGTGCTCAGCCCTCTTATTAAGTAGAGAAATGTAATGAAACTGCAATGAGATACTAACACCCAACAGATTACAAAAACGAAAAGTCTAACAATTTCAAGTGTTGATGAGGATGTAGAACAAGTAGAATAGTTATAAAGTTTGGGTGGGAGCTTAAATGTTGCAGCCACTTTGGAAAATAGCTTGATACTATTTCCTAAAGATGAAGGCATGCATTCCCTACAAGCCAGACCTCACACACACATAAGTACCAATAGATGTGTATAAGAACCTGAAGAGCAAAATTGCTTATATCATAGCAGAAAACTAGACACAACATAAATTTCCATCAACAATGGAATTGATAAATATATTGTGATATATTCATTTAATGAAATATCCTACAACAGTGAAGACAAATTATAGTGAAAGCATGAAAAAAATGGATTAGAGTCAGGAACATGATAATGATAAAAGCAACCTTGGAAGAATATATACAGTATAGCTTCATTTACATAAGATTAAAAATTCTACAAAATAAATATTCACTGTCATAAACTTAGGTGATAAAACCATAAAGAAAATTTCCTAAGGAAGTGATAAACATAACAATTGGTATAATAATTACCTCTGAGGGAACTGAGAAGAGACAGGGATAGGGAAAGACTCAAAAGGGACATCAGAAGTTAATATACTTTTTCTGAAACTGTATGATGGGTCCACACATAATATCTAACCTGTATTAGGTTTTCTTTTTTTTTTTTAAGATTTTATTTATTTGACAGAGAGATTGAGAGTGAGCACAAGCAGGCAGAGCTGCAGGCAGAGGGAGAGGGAGAAGCAGACTCCCTGCTGGGCAGAGAGCCTGATGTGGGGCTCAATCCCAGGACCCTGGGATCATGACCTGAGCTGAAGGCAGACGCTTAACTGACTAAGCCATCCAGATGCCCTGTATTATGTTTTCAAAAAATTATTATGGAATCCTTATGACATGAAAAAGGTGTAGAGAATAGTACAGTGTGGTGCAGTTCCTTCCATAACGCCAAACTACCAAACACTGGAAGACATGAAAAAGTGTATTTATTTTTAAGGAAATGTACAACTCTAGTACTAGAATTTGATTGTTCTTTTAGAACAATATTTAATTGGGTTTTGAATTTTATTCCATGAATTATTTACACCATGCCAGTTGAAGAAAAACTGCTTCTTGGACTTGGTGATGTATGCATAGGTCCTTTGCTTTATGTAATGCTTGATTTCTTGTTTATGTTAATGTAATTTCAACAAAACGCCTATCTCCTTGAAATAGATATATTTATTTATTCAGCTGTTTATTGTAGCTGTACCTTCAAGGTGCGATTTAGAGAAATTTAGAAAAATTCTAAACTGACCTTAATTGTGAATAGAAATGTTAAGGTCTTGAAAATAATGAGATAGATGAGCAACTTCTAATTCATTCATTTTACCTTTATGTGTGCTAAATATCATTTACTTTCTGTTCTCTAATAAGTCACAAATAAATTGATCTGCTAAAGCAGGCTATGTATACAACTGTGATAAAATTTTGAGAGAAGTTTTATTTTGAAAAGTTTTTGTAAAATTATTTAAATGAACTAGAGCAAATGTTTTGTTACAATCCTTCTGTAGGCTGTGTACTCCAAATTGTGTTTAAGTGATTAAATATTTTTCTGCTTTCCTTCAAATTAGAAATCCAATCAAATAGAAATGTAGCTTTGACAATGATAGATGAATGCGATTAGGGCATTTACTAATTTATACTTTTAAATTGGATGAATTTATCTTTTTTTTCTCTAATACTTCCTTTTAAAAAAGACTCTAGCTCTCAGCAGTTCTTGGAAATAGTGTGTGAGGAGATAATGTTAGCTCATGAGGAGATGATGTTAGCTTTTTTGTGTGTCATTTAAATTTAATCTGTCTGGTATCAGCAGGGAGAAAATATGAAAGCAAATCGACAGTGTTGTCTATAAATGATTGCATCACCAGTGGTTAGTTATGTCCTCCGGGTAAATTCATAGCTGTCAATGCTTTTATTTCATTTTAAGAAAATCTTACTCTTGGGTGCCTGGGTGGCTCAGTTGGTTAAGCGACTGCCTTCGGCTCAGGTCATGATCCTGGAGTCCTGGGATCGAGTCCCGCATCGGGCTCCCTGCTCAGCAGGGAGTCTGCTTCTCCCTCTGACCCTCCTCCCTCTCATGCTCTCTGTATCTCATTCTCTCTGTCTCAAATAAATAAATAAAATCTTTAAAAAAAAAAAAAAATCTTACTCTTTTTGGTTCTTGGATGATTGAGGGAGTAGTTCTATAACTACAGATAAATTGCAAAGGATTAGATACATTTTTTGCCACTTAATGTTAATCCTCAAAATATACATCTTTGAGTGACTGTGTTTTTTCTTTGCCCCAATAAAATTCCCGAGTTGTGATTGTTTTTCTTCCTATGAAATTATGAGTGTACTTGGAAAATAGCTATAAAATACTACAGTAGCTCTTGAAGTGCATATAGTTGCTTTTTGTTTTTGTTTCTTTATAGAGGGAGAGGGGGCAGGGGGCAGAACAAGAGGGAGGAAGAGAATCTTAAGCAGGCTCTATGCCCAACATGGAACCTAACACGGGGCTTGATCTCATGACTCCGAGATCGTAACCTGAGCTGAAATCAAGAGTCGGATGTTTGATCGACTGAGCCACTCAGGTGCCCTGAAGTATACATAGTTTGACAGATTTAAAAAACTTATTCAATTAGTAATATTTATTTAGGTTTAAGTTATGGGATCAAATATTAGATTAGTTATAGGAATGTCATTTTTGCTCTTGGTTCTGGAATCCCCTGTATGAACAATTTTAGGAAAAGAAAAAGATGATCATGGACCATATACGTTGATTCACTTTCTCTTTGGATTTGCTAAATACCTAATATTTCACCACTTAAAATTTAAATGTTAAGTACATTCAACTGAGTAAAAAATACTGAAAGTGAATGTTTCTTTGACTTTGGGTTTGTGATGCCTTATTAAAGGAATGTAATTAGTTTCCTTTTTTAAAAAGTATTTTACTTTTTCTACCCTTAGAATATTATGCCTTTGTATTTAACATCTTGGCCTTCGAAAATTTAGGACTATTGTTATTTAATGTTGTTTAGAGATTCATCTGAATCTTTAAAATACTTATGAATAAGAGCATGGTCTTATCTTAGCGTATTAGAAGCAAACCTCATTTATAAAATATTTCAAGGTTTAGGCAGAAGCTATGGTATTTCTGTCCTGACTCTTGTCCCTCCTGCTGCTCAACATTCCTGACTCTGATGATTGTGGTATACTCAAGGAAAAGGAGGCTTCATTTAAAAGTCCAAGGAATAACAGGGAACAATTTCCAAGCCCAGCAGTGTGCACAAGCTCAGAATCTGGTGGTTTGTCCTGGCTCGAAAACTCTAGCCATGAGCCAGAGCCACTCTGAGAGATAAATTAGGGGTGGTTGATAGCTAACGAAAGGTTTCTAAACATTAAGTTTAAATTATAACTTGATTTTTAAAAATCAAACATTCACAGTTCTTTTCAGCAATATGGTGTTACATAAATATGGTATTCCATAGCATGTCCATTCTTACGAAGTCTTGTGTATAGTTTGTAAAATAACTCTGACCTATAAAATAATTGCCTACCAAATTTACATAGTCTCTGTTTTAAATTTCTATTTCTACTCTTTATCTCCAAATTTTATTTCACTCCTTTCTTTTAACAGATTTAAAGGAAATAGAAATGTTTTCAATTGCAGATACACATAGGAAGGATTTATGACCAGATCCTCATGAAGTTAAATTGCCAGAACTGGATAGATTATATTCATTATAGCTTTCAACCTTGTCTTTTTTTTTTTTTTTTAATTTGGGCATGTAGGCAACAGTGCTTATTTTTTTTTGGCGGCTTTTGTTTTAACGCTTCCTTTTCTATATTAGTCTATGTTAGAAAACTCCTAGGTGAGGAGGAGCAAAAGCAATCGAAACAAGCTATGTTGTTTGCTTGAGAGATTTGATCAAAGTCTCTCTTCCTGTAATATCTCATTTTTTAATCACACTAAGAATTTACTAGGGGAAAATAAGTATAAAAGAAGCTAGCCGTTTCCAAGGGATTAGTGAATTATGGATATGAAAGTTGGGGGACTCAGTTTCCAAACTGAGAATTATTTTTCATGTTTCTCTTTCCAATGTCTGATTGTCCCTCTTAAGCAAAGCAGAAATATCTTTTAACCAGCTAATTGATAACTTTGCTTTTTTCTTTGATTCCTACAAAAGTGGGAGGTGTATTTTAGCTCTTTTTCCTTTTTTATGTATAGATAATAATTATTGTACTTATAAGTGCCAGATTTATTAGACTTAAGTCTGAGTTGGAATGAAATTGTTTTGATACCCAAATTTTGGATCAGTTCGTGTTAAGTTGTATTTTTCTCATAATGTAGAATTACACCACTGTATTCTTTTTTTATTTGTTAGATACACGCAAATCCATGTTTTTATCAGTCTTCCGAGAAGAGCCAGCTCTTACCATTGAAGAGAAATCTATGGTGCTGGTTGAATCCTGGAGACAGTTTTTCTTTGCTAGTCGACAAATACATATTCTGTGTTTTCTCTACACACTCTGAAACAGAAATGGAATGTACTTTAAGGTAAGATTGCCTGTGCTCTCTCTCTGTCAAATAAAAAAAAATCTTAAAAAAATTTTTTTTAATAAATTTTGAAAAAATGGTAATTGTAACCTAATTCCTCAGCCATCCACAAATGCTTCAGTAAAAACCATTCTAGGATTAAACTATGTTGGCAGTATAGGAGTTACATGGAGTGTGTGTGGTATATATGTTTGTTATGTTTCTCTAGGAAAAATTTGACATTAGAAACCTACACCTCAATAGTGATTGCTCGCATATGTGGTATCCTTTTACCATCGTGTTCAGAATGTATTTTCTATCTAATAGTAACCAGGATAGGTAATTTGAAACCAACTACATTTTCTTAATCTTTTCTTTTAGCTTTTTAAATTGTATTAAGGTATTATTAACCCCTCTGGCTTAGACTACACTCACATAACTCCTCTTTCTTATAAAAATAACAGAAAATATAGAATTGGGAAAATGAGGTATTATAATAAACATCTAATATAAAGTTAATACTCTAGTTTTGTTGAGGCAGTCATTAGCAGATTATTGCCACTCTTTCAGCTTTTAAATTATAGTCTACATAAACTGGACTTATAGAAGTAGATGGACAAAAGTATACAGAATGTGTTCTGTGATTACAGTAATATTAAATTAAAAATCAGTGACAGTAGGGGTGCCTGGCTGGCTCAGTTTGTAGAGCATGCGACTCTTGATCTTGGGATTGTGAGTTTGAGTCCCATGTTGGGCATAGAGATTACTTAAAAAAATCAGTAACGATAAAATAGAAAAATCTCCAAAAATTTGAAATTAAATAGCACATTTCTAAATAACTCTTAGGTCAAAGAGAATCACAAGGGAAATTAGAAAACATTTTGAACAAAATAATACTGAAAACAACATAAAAATTTGTGAGATGAAGCCAAAGTAGTTCTTAGAGGGAAATTTATATTAAATGCTTGTATTAGAAGAGAAGAAAGCTATAAAACCAATGATCTTTGTTTCTACTCTAAGGAGACAGGCAGACAGGAGCAAATTAATCCCAAAGCAGATAGAAAAAAGGAAATAAGAATAAGATTAGAAATCAGTGACATAGAAAATAGACAAATAACAAAGAAAATCAACAAAGCCAAAAGTTGGTTCTTTGAAAAGATTAATTAAATGTAAACCAAAATGAAAAAATACAAATTATCAATATCAGGAATGGAAGAGAGTATATTACTAGGAATTTTACAGACCTTAAAAGAATAACGAAGAAATATTATTTAAAGCTTTATGCCAGCAAACTTGACAGCCTAAATGAATGGATACATTCCTCTGAAAACATAATTTACCAAAACTAATATAGGAAGAAATAGAAAATTGGGTGAATTTTATATTAAAGAAATTGAGGTCACAATTTAAGAATTTTCCATAAGAAACTTCACTAGTGAGTTCCATTAACTTTCTTTTTTTTTTTTTTT